AGGAGGAGGAGGAGGAAAGAAAAAATATGGAAAAAGGAGGAGGAAAAGTAGGAGGAGGAGAAGGAGGAGGAGGAGGGGAGGGGGAGTGTGGAGGTGGAGGGGGAGGGGGAGGGGGAGGGGTGAGGGGAGGGGGAGGGGGAGGGGGAGGAGGGGGAGGGGGGAGGGGGAGGGGGAGGAGGAGGAGGAGGAGGAGGGGAGGGGGAGGTGGAGGTGGAGGGGGAGGGGGAGGGGGAGGGGAGGGGAGGGAGGGGAGGGGAGGTGGAGGAGGGGAGGGGGAGGGGAGGAGGGGGAGGGGAGGGGGAGGAGGGGGAGGGGAGGGGGAGGAGGAGGAGGAGGAGGAGGAGGAGGCGGAGGAGGAGGAGGAGGAGGAGGAGGAGGAGGAGGAGGAGGAGACCCACACCAGCTGAATGTGCCACCACATTAATATGCATCAAAAAACATATCAAAAACCGCCATCCGAGGGATCGGCCTCCACGCGGCGTCTCCTGCCAAGGGCCCGCGAGGAGGAGGAGGAGGAGGAGGAAGACGAGGAGGAGGGAAGAGGGAGGAGCGAGGAGCGAGGAGCGAGGAGGGAGGAGGGAGGAGGAGGAGGGAGGGAGGAGGGAGGAGAGGAGGAGGGGGAGAGGGAGGAGGGAGGAGGGAGGAGCAGGAGAAGGGAGAGGGAGGAGGGAGGAGGGAGGAGGGAGGGAGGAGGGAGGGAGGGGGAGGGAGGGAGGGGAGAGGGAGGGAGGGAGGGGGGAGGGAGGGAGGGAATGGGAGGGGAGGAGGAGGAGGAGGAGGAGGAGGAGGAGGAGGAGGAGGAGGGGAGGAGGAGGAGGGAGGAGCAGGGGGGAGGAGGAGGAGGGGGGAGGAGGAGGAGGAGGAGGAGGGGACCCATACCAGCTGAAGGTGCCACCACATTGAACACGCATCAAAAAAGCGTTACAACCTGAGAAGATCCCAACCAGTGGATGAGTTGAGAATTCATAATATGGATCTTGAGATCGAGTGTGAGATCGATCATGAGATCGATAGTGGAATCGATCGTGTGGACGATTGTAAGGTCGGTCGTGAGACCAAGAGTGAAATCGATTCAATGAGATCGATTGTGAGATCGATCGCGAGATCGCTCATGCGATCTCTAGTGAGATCGCTTGTGAGATCGATAGTGAGATCGATTGTGAGATCGATGGTGAGATCGATATAGAAGTGGGTAATGAGATCGATGGTGAGACCGATCGATAAGAAGATCGACCAGGAACCCGGGAACCCGGGAACCTCGCCGCCCTCCGAAATCGGCCCGGAACCCGGAACCGGGAACCCGGGAACCCAGAACTGGGAACCCGGGAACCCAGCGTGCGACCAAAATCGCCGGGACACTTTTCTCAAATCTTTCAATTTCTGCGAGGACCCCTTCAGTGCAAGCACTGATTGGGGAAGAAACCGTCATCCGAGGGATCGGGAGGAGGAGGAGGAGGAGGAGGAGGAGGAGGAGGAGGAGGAGTAGGAGGAAGAAGAAGAGGAGGAGGAGCAGGAGGACCAGTAAGAAGAATCCGACTCTGCCTCGCTCTACCCATCAAAGAGCGATGGCCCGCGGCCGCGAATTCGCACGAGGGAGGCCCACCTCTACCCCCTGCTCCCGCTGCTGTTGCTGCCTTCCATTGCGCTACACTGCTGGCGGGCTGCCTTCTGGAGGCACTCTATGGACTCAGGAGGGCCCAAAGCAAGGTTCTTCCCCTTCTCAGTCCGTTGATGCTACCCCTCCAACATCCAGCTCCAGCGGTGCTGCTGGACATCCGACGAGAAACCTCCGTGGCAACTCCTAGCCAAGCAACGCAAATCTCTCGAAGTGTGGGCCCCGCACCTCGCACATCCGAAGTAGAAGGCCTCCTCAGCTAAGGAAGGAAGCCTTAAGAACCTGTGCCCCCTAGGCTCTTGAACTAAGCATGACAGTGGACTGTTGCTGCCTGGGCATGCGCACCTGCTCTTGCGAGCCTTTGCGCTGTCCTTGCACGCGGCGGGCACACACCCACTTAGTCTGCCTCCAGAACCAGGCGTGGGCGAGAAACTCCTGTCCCTCCCCCTCCCGGGGGGAGAACGACGACGACGACCACGAGGCTCCGACGGAGGATCAGGAGGAGGAGGAGGAGGAGGAGGTTGTGGAGATGGGGCGGCCGAGAGAATGGCGGCCTCCCGCTCGACAGTCTACGCCACTATTTCTCGAGCAGCCTGCACATCTCTCCAGATCTTCGCCCTGGGCCTCGGACCCCTCTTGAACTTGTGTTGGCTGGTGCGTGTGGTTGCCAGCTGGGGCCACAAGGTGAGGGCTTGACCCACCTGCATCAAGAAAACGGCCAGCTATCTGGCTTCCCGTTCAAAGTCGTCCGCTTCTGCATTGGCAGAGCGATAGTGCATTTGGGCCCCTTGTTCTTGGCATCGCTCGGACGTGTGCATTCTTCCTTCGGCGAGGACCATCGAGGAGCATCCTTGATCATTTGGCGGAAAGACCACGCACGACACCGACAAAAAACACAGGGAATGGACGTCCGGGTGATGGCGAGTGCTTGGCCCACCTCTCGGCACGGGACTTCCCGAGAGCTCTAGAACGCTCGTCCGTGCCGGTGCACAGCGAGTCTGCATTCTGGAGGCCTTGCACTTTGCTGACGCGGCAGGTCGACGTCCACGTGGGCCTGCAAGAATCTGCTTGCTGAGGCCTGCGTGGCGCGATGTTCCATCCAGCGCGACGTACAGTCGGGGCGCTGAAGAAGGAACCCTGTTCGTTGAGGAGTGGCTCCGTGTTCCTTGCTTGTTGCATAGCTTGCCTGAGGTTTTCCTCAGGCTTTCGATGGGAAATCGGAGCTCAACTTACGGAAAAGAAGGGGCCTCGTTCCTGATTTAGGGCTCCTTGAGTCAACGCCCCGACTGTACGCAGGGCCACTGAGACTTAAAAGGGCCCCCGTGAGAAATCGGTGACGAGTCCGCGACCCCCGCGACCCCTGCAGAGCAGCAGCGCGCAGGGCGATCCACGCGGCTGCCGGGGACGACGTCGGGAGGCCGGCCCCAGCTGGACCATGGAGAGCCGCGTAGGGCTCCCCGCTACGTTGAAAGCGAACAGCCGCCCATCCAGCAGGATGAAAATGCGGTCGGGGCGCTGAAGAAGGAGCCCTTTTCGTTGGGGAGGGGCTCCGTGTTCCTTCATTGTTCCACAGTTTTGTCGTACGTCTTCCTTAGGTTTTCGCTGGGAAATCGAAGTTTAACTTATGGGAAAAAAGGGGCCTCGTTCCTTATTTAGGGTTCCTTAGGTCAACGCCCCGACTGTGCTCGGCCCTAGACTTGAAGCACGATCCGTCTGTGAACAGTCTGCCTCGGAGGGCCTGCTCCACGGCGACGTCTAGATCGGCAAACCAGAAACTGGCAGCTTCCAGCCCAGAGCCCCCTGGGGGGCACAGTTCAAAATTGGGCGCCATTTGAAAACCCGCTAGGAAAAGATGGCGGTTCCTGACATACCGCTCGATATCCTCCCTTTGACCGGGTGTGAACATCTAATCCCAGAGCGGCTGAGACAGTGGACTCACGCAGCCGATGCACCACATCATCACTGCGATGCCCGCATTGGCGGAAAGGTTGGGTGACTACATACCCGGCTGGAGCAAGCTTGGCATTAGTCCCCTGGGTCAGATATCCCAGGAGACATCCTTTCTCCCTAGAGCTCAGAGGGGAACAGTCCTTAGGCCCCTGCCCAGTGCTCGGCACGGACAAAGCCACGCCTACATCAAGCACGTCTTCATAGGAGCCTGGTTTCTGAGCCGTTTCTCGCTGCGCTCTTTCCCTCCACGACGCTGCGACCAGGAAGGAGAGCGAAGAAGGGGAGGTGGAGGTAAGACAATGGGGCACAGCCGAGGCGCGCACCAGTGGACCGCACGGGCGACGCCGAAAAGCGGGGTCGTCTGCGCCGGCACTGGCGCGCAAGTCGCCCGCCCAGGGTCGCGCGTGAGCGCCCTCTTCACCAGTGTTGGCGCGCCGCGCTGGCGGCCCGCGTACGCCACCGCGTGAGGTCGGTGTGTCATATCGCGTAAGACTCTTTCGTTCGTCGCCCATCAGCTGTCGGAGCACTCCAGATTTCGTAATAAGGGAGGGGGGTCTCTTCGGGGGGGGTCTCTTCCAGGCTATCTTGGAGGGCCTGGGGGGTCTGGGGACGATGTTTTGGAGGGTTCTCCCACGGGGGAGGTCTGAATGGCTTGTCTTGGAGGGTCCAGACCCCCTCGATTACGAAATCTGGAGTACCCTGGGTTTCTTCGCTCCGCGCGCTGCGCAGTGGCTTCCCGCGGCCGCTGAAGAAGCGGCCGCGTGCAGGGTGCTTTGGGCCCCCCTGGGTGAATTTCGCGCGCGGGTGTGTTCAAGGCCGGGTTTCTTGCGATGCTGTTTTGCGGCCGCGTCCGCATTGTACGCAGGCAGATGCGATTGACGATTCCGAAAAGCGACAAACGAGAGACGGAGGCAACCCGCCCGCAGACGAGCGCCAATCATTGACAGAGTTCGGTCTTCAATGTTTATTTTTGTCTCTACCACTTGTGGATCTGAGTAAAGGGAATACGCATTGTCGGATAACCAATCTTGGAAGAGTCATGACAGGGTCCAGGAGGGCCTGAAATGTGGTGCAAATATGTTTGAAAGCGGGCTATAGGAACTATCTGAAGCTTGATTCCCCTGCTCGGGAGCCGCCCTGGGCGCCCAACGGGGCGTTCCGCGCAGCCCGTAGCCATTTTTGGCCCAAGGAGTGCCGACTCTGCTGGTTGTGGCTCTCACTCATCATGCCCAGCCCTGGGCTCCCACGAGTGCCCCCAGCGCCTCCCGACAGAGACCTCCCGACCGTGCCCCCAGCGCCTCCCGAGCTCCCGGGAGCGCCACCCGGCACGGGCCTTTCCCCGAGCGCCCTGCCCCGAGACCCGGCGCCTCGACGAGGAGGTGCCCACCGTGAGGACCGAGGCCCGCGGGCAGGTCGCGGGGGGGCCGCGCGTCGTATGCTCCGTGAGGCCGTGGAGGAGAGCGCCCCTGCGACGGACGACGGTGGCAGGGCGATGGAAGCGAGTTGCCCTGCGGAGGCAGAGAGAGCCGCCATTCCGGAGCGGCGGCACCTGCTGCTGTCCTTCGTGCCCGGTGCGGCCTACGAGCAGCTGGAGGCGCTGAAGGCCGCCATGCCTGAGCGGCCGCAGCTGCTGCGGTCGCTCGTGCCCGGTGCGGTGTACCAGCAGCTGGATGCGCTGGGGTCCGGCTCGTACTTCGCCAGAGGAGTGGAGGAGTGGGGGCGCTGGGGCTGGGGGCAGAGAGCCGCCGCCGCGTCAGCGGCCGTGCTCTTGCTCGGAGCCCTGCTGGCGTTCGCCTGTCTGGCTCCAGGCATGTCTGGACATGGTGGCGGCGTGCACGCCGGCTCTGCCACGCCGAACGGCGGCGGGGCCTTGACGTCGCTGTCGGAGGACCACCCCGCCGGGGCCACGCAGATCCAGGTGGAGTCCTCGCATGGCTTCGAAATAGGAGACGTAATCACGATCTCGCATCCCGCCAACGGAGGGTATTCGGAGGAGAGAGAAATAGTGGACATGGGCTCAATCATCCTCAACAAGCCGCTCGAACACGAGTACCCCGCTGGCTCCAAGGTAAAGAAAGTATTGCCTGCTAAGGAAGAGACGGTGAAGTCTGCGAAAGCATCCCATGAGGAAACACCACCTGTCCAGGTAACTACTTGGGAACCGGCTGAGGATCCCATACTGGCTCCTGCGCCGATTTCGCCCTCGCCCCAGCCGACTTCGGAATCGACGGAGGATCCTACACTGGGTCCTACGCCGATTTCGCCCACGTCCGAGCCGGCGGAAAACCCAACGGCAGCTCCCGCGCCGATGCCGACGCCTGCGGAGGCAGAGGAGGAAGCCTTTCAGGCGAGCCCTGAAAATTCTGGGCCGACGGTCATATCCTTCTACCTGTACCGGGCGTCTGGCGACACTAACTACCCGCTGGAAAATGTAAATGTCGGGAATCTGGCGGGGGTGCTGTGGTACCTTCACAATGAGATCGTGGTTTCCCCCATGCGGAAGTACAATATAGACAGGATCAAAAGATTCAAGATCAGGATGAAGCCCGTGGTGGAGTTCTGGAACGTGCACCACGCTAATTTCGGACCCTTCATGGCCTACGACGCTGCGAGGTGCAGCACGCCGTCTTGCAAAGACGTCTACGACCTCTACGGCTACATTGTCGGGTGCCAGAGCGTGACGCCTGGGAGGTGTGCCTACGAGGCGATGTGGGACACGTTGAGCGAGAAGGCGTGTGCGCAAGCCGGCATCAGCTGCAGATCGCCGACGTGGTACTCGCTGCCAGGCCCTTGCCCGCTGAAGAAGATCAGCGCGGCAACGGTGAAAGAGCAGACGAACGATCTCCGAGGCGGGAATTTATACATGACCACCGCCTGGAGGGTCAGCTTTCGGAGCCTCGGCAGGCGGTGGATGTGGATACGTTCGGGCCCCCGGGGGCCGAGATATGTCCACATCCGCCGCCCGCTGGGGCAGCAGGACGTCGGCTCCCAGGCGGAGGAGGAGGAGGGGGAGGAGGAGGAAAAAAAAAGGAGGAGGACGACGAGGAGGAGGAGGAGAAGGAGGAGGACGGGGGAAGCAGGAAGAGGAGGAGGAGGAGGAGGAGGAGGAGGAGGATAAATCCCCGCCTCGCACGATCACGGCATCGAGAACCCGCTGGACGCGAGCCTGGTGGCGAGCAGCGCGGAGGAGGCGAAGAGCGACGCGTGCAGGGCCGCCGAGCCGGGCGGGCGCTGCGAGGGAGAGCCCACCGGGGCGCCCGACTGCGTCTACTCCGTGGAGGACGCCGGCGAGGTCATGCTGGACGGCCTGGTGGGCACCCTGCCCAGCTCGGGGAGGAGCGTAAGGCTCGAGTGCAGTGGGGGGGCGCGTGCCAAGAGAGCAGGGGGGATTCTGCGAGGGGGGGCCCTGGGTTTCTTGGATTTCTCGATGGGCCCCCGATCAGATCTCGACGATGTTCGATCGGCGAAATTGGGTTTTCACCGAACGACTCGCGGAATTCAGGGTTGGGTTTCTGGACGGCCTGGTGGGCACCCTGCCCAGCTCCGGGAACAACGTAAGGCTCGAGTGCGCTCAAGTCGGACCTGTCCCTCTACAGGGGGAATGTTCAAAAATAGTCAAAGAACAGTATTTGTTTGACTATTGTTGAGCATTTGGGGAGTATTTATCGGGTATTTTTAATTCTTCGCCCAAAGTCTCCCTGTAGGGGCACAGGCCCGACCTAAGAGTACGCCGGAACTCGTGCTTGCCGACGCTTCTTGAAGCGAGCGAGACCTGGGTTTTGACGGTCAAGATTTCGTGGGATGTGTGCAGCGGGAGCTCGCGTCAAGTTTCAGACTGGGTCTCGGCATTTTCATGATGGCCCCGTCAGGTCAACCCGAGTCCCCCGTACCCGAGTCTTACGTCTCCCCGACTCGGGGAAACGTAAGATTCGAGTACGCCGGAACTCGTGTTTGCCGACGCTTCTTAACAAGCGCGACCTGGGTTTTGACGGTCCAGGTTTGTGGGATGTGTGCAGCGGGAGCTCGCGTCAAATTTCAGACTGGGTCTCGGCATTTTCATGATGGCCACGTCAGGCCAACCCGAGTCCCCCGTACCCGAGTCTTGCGTCTCCCCGACTAGCTTCGCCGAGTGGTTCAAGGGCCCTTCGGTCACGCGGGAGTACGATGAGAACACAGACCGGGGCATTGGCGTCACCTTCTGGGACGGCAGGAATGACCCAGGGAAGTGCATGGACAGGCTGAAGCAGGTGCTTGCGAAGTTCGAACAGATGCACGGGGTCGACCCGGACCTGACCGCAGGGCAGCCCATATGCGACTTCGACGGTTGGTACAGCGGCGAGTTCGACGGTGTCTGGCCGCGGAACCACACTGGCGCCGTCGAGCCCTCAAGGGGTTTCGCGTGGGCTGACGGCTGGGCTGGGGAAGGTGGCGAGGAATACGGGTCAGAGCTGGCTTCGGAAGAGGACGAGGAAGAGGAGCCGGCTGCGACTGCGATAGAGCCGGCTTCAGAAGAGCAGGGGGACTATTACGCCTACGTTGGAGCCGACAGTGGGATAGCTAGCTAGTTCTATTTTCAATGCGGGATGTCCTTTCGTCTGCTACTTGCTGACCGCTTCCGCCGAGAGGGCGGTGGAGCGCGCAAGCGGGAGCTTGCTGTCACGCCATGGGCAGATTGCTGAAGGCATCCGCGTTCTTGCACGTTTCACTTGTTGCTCACTCGCTGTGACCAGCGCAACCCTGCGATCCGACGGCGCGATAAAGTCGAGACACGCACAAAATCATGACCTGAACCCTGGACCCCATCTTGCTGCGCCGTTTCTCGAGTCGGATCGATCTGTGCGGGCCCCGGGGCCCAAAATAGGGAGCCACGCGCGAACCCTCCCCCTCAGAAATCGTGGGAGGTACGGGTAGGGTTCGCGCGTGGCCGCCTACAAAAGAAAACGGGGCGGAAACGCCCTGCTCGAGAGAGAGAGAGAACATTGAGACGCCAGGATCTCAGGGAAGGCGTTCGGAGCAGATGTCCCTGCGCACTGCGACGTGGGCGCGCCCTCACCAGAGGAGGAGGAGGAGGAGGAGGAGGAGGAGGAGGAGGAGGAGGAGGAGGAGGAGGAGGAGGAGGAGGAGGAGGAGGAGTGGGAGGAGGAGGACGAGGACGAGGAGGAGGAGGAGTTAGGAGGAGGAGGAGCAGGAGGAGGAGGAGGAGGAGGAGGAGAAGATGAGGGGAGCAGGAGGGGAGGAAGGAGGAGGAGGAGGAGGGGAGGAGGAGGGGAGGAGGTGCGTGAGGGAGGTGGAGGGAGGAGGGGGGAGGAGGAGGAGGAGGAGGAGGAGGGGGAGGAGGAGAGAGAGGACGAGGAGGAGGACGAGGAGGAGGAGGAGGAGGGAGGAGGAGGAGGAGGAGGGAGGAGGATGGAGGAGGAGGAGCAGGGAGAGGAGGAGGGACGGGACGGGAACGAGGACCGGGGAGGAGGGAGGGAGGAGGAGGGGGGAGTGAGGGGAGGAGGAGGAGGAGGAGGGGAGGAGGAGGAGGAGGAGGAGGAGGAGGAGGAGGGAGAAGGAGAGAATGAAAGGAGGAAGGAGGATAGGAGGAAGGAGGAGGGAGGAGAGGAGGGAGAAGGGAGGAGGAGGAGGAGGAGGAGGATGGAGTAGGAGGAGGAGAGGGAGGGGAGGAGAGGAGGAGGAGGGGGAGGAGGAGGAGGTGGAGGGGGAGGAGGAGGAGGAGGAGGAGGGGGAGGCAGAGGAGAAGGAGGAGGAGGAGGAGGAGGAGGAGGAGGAGGAGAGGCCGAATCGCAGGGGGACGCCTGGGCCATTCCAGCGGGCCCACACCCGCTCGCGGGGCTGGTGCAGCGGGTTGCGCGGAGGCCGCGTCCGCAGCGACTGCCTCTTGCACGTCTCCAGGCCACCCAAATACGCAAGGCGGTAGTAGGATCTATCTAGGCTTAAGTCGGGCCTGTACCTCTACAGGGGGGAAGTTCAAAAATAGACCAACAATAGTCTGGGGATGATTTTTGGATATATTTGTTCTGCAATTTGGGGACTATTTTGGAATTCTTTAATTTTTCGTCCAAAATCCGCCTGCAGGGGTACATGCCCGACCCAACTCCAGCACGTCTCCAGGCCACTCAAGTACGCAGGGCGGTAGTAGGATTTATCTGGGCCTCCCAGATGGGGTCCGAGCAAATGGGGTCGGAGGATCGCGGCGCATCGCCGATGCATCGGCGATGCGGCTCGATGTGGAGCCGGATTTTCCCCACGCCAGCGTCACCGATGCACCGCCGACGTCGCCGATGCATCGCCGATGCATCGCCGATGCGGCGCAACCCCCCGATCCCATCTACTCGGACCCTATCTAGGAGGCCTTTAATTCTCTTGCACAGCTGTGCTCTGGAGCTCGGACATCTTTATTTTCGTGTCCTGGTCGTCCCCTGGCCCTGGCCCTCACCCCCCCCCCTGGGCCACGGAACACTTTCGTGTCCTGCTCGTCCCCCTGGCCCTGGCCCTCACCCCCCCCTGCCCCCCCGTCCAGGCATCCCAGGGCAGCTCGTCCAGGCTTCCCAGAGCAGCCCCCCTGGGCCACGGAACCCTTTATTTTCGTGTCGTTCGTCGTTCGTGTCGTTCGTCCCCCTGGCCCTGGTCGTCCCCTGGCCCTGGCCCTCACCCCCCCCTGCCCCCCGTCCAGGCATCCCAGGGCAGTCCGTCCAGGCTTCCCAGGGCAGCCCCCCTGGGCCACGGAACCCTTTATTTTCGTGTCGTTCGTCGTTCGTGTCGTTCGCCCCCCTGGCCCTGGTCGTCCCCCTGGCCCTGGCCCTCACCCCCCCCTGCCTCCCATCCAGTCCAGCCTTCCCAGAGCAGCCCGTCCAGGCTTCCCAGGGCAGCCCCCCTGGGCAACGGAACCTTTTATTTTCGTGTCGTTCGTCGTTCGTGTCGTTCGCCCCCCAGGGCAGCCCGTCCAGGCTTCCCAGGGCAGCCCCCCTGGGCCACGGAACCCTTTATTTTCGTGTCGTTCGTCGTTCGTGTCGTTCGTCCCCCTGGCCCTGGTCGCCCCCTGGCCCTGGCCTTCACCCCCCCCTGCCCCGCGTCCAGGCATCCCAGGGCAGCCCGTCCAGGCTTCCCAGGGCAGCCCCCCTAGGCCACGGAACCGTTATCTCTATGCACAGCTGTGCTCTAGAGCTAGGACATCTTTATTTTCGTGTCGTGTCGTGTCGTTCGTCCCCTGCCCCCACTTCCCCTGCCACCCCCCCCCGTCCAGGCTCCCCCTGGGCCAGCCCCCCTGGCGCCCGGACACTTTATTTTCGCGTTTGGTCGTGTCGTTCGTCCCCCTGCCCCCCCCCTCTGCCCCCCCCCCGCCCAGGCTTCCCAGGGCAGCCCCCCTGAGCCTCGGACACCTTTGTGCAAGAGCCAGGGCACGCGTGCCACTTGTTTAGGATCAAGGCTTTGGCATTGGGCCTGTGTGTCCAGAACTGTTGGCCTTGGCGCGAGCGGCTGCTCGTTCGAGATCAGTGTTTTCCTGGCCGCGGGCCCTGTCCCGTGAGCAACGTTAGGGGGTGTAGGCTCAGGGTGGAAGGCATCGACCCCTAGTCGCCCACTGATCGCCGTTGGGGGCCTGATAGCCCCACCCCGCCCAGGAACGTGCGGATTCGCTACCAGGGACAAATCGCCGATCTATCTGCGAGCTATCGCCGATGCCAGGTCGATGTCTTTCCCCTGAGCCACCCCCCCCTCCAAGCGTTGCTCCTCACGCCCACAGGGTTTCAGCTCCTGTGAGGTCCCACTACGCAGGTCCCAGTCCAAGGGTCGACCCACGTTGGGCTTCCTGTGCGTTCGACATCGTTAGCAGCACCCCTCTTTTATTGCGCCCAGTTCGTTGAACTCACTTTGCTCGTTGCACGAATTACCTGCAGGGTGCATCGAAATTGGAAGTCTGCAAAAGTCGCACCAGACAGTGAACGAGGATTATGAGACGCGACAGCGCACTGGGGGCATGGTGGCAAGCGATCAAAGAAAGGTCCCCCCGTCGCACTCCAAATCATCGCATCTCGGGGCCCTCTTGGTGCGCTCTTGGGGCCCTCTCGAAGCCCTCTTGGGCCTCCCCTGGGTCTCTCTTGGACGATCTTGGCGTCATCTTGAGGCCTCAGCGTAAATCAGCTGGGAACGAAAGAAACGAGCGGGCGAAAACACACACTGATGTCCTTCAGCTTGCGGAGGATGGAGGGCTCTTGGGGGCGGCCTCGGGAACCGCCGTGGCCACTTAGGGCCGTCCTGGGGCGATCTTGCAGCCCGTTGAGTGCAAGTTGGAAGCTACTTTGAACCATTTTTGAATAATACCGGGCGACCTTGTAGGCAACCGTGGACTATGTGGCGCCCTCCTGCAGCCATCTCGGGCGATCTTGAACGCTCAAGCGACCTGCGACTGCCCACTTCCACATCCAAGGGTAGGGGACTTCCTCTATTAGGGCCGGCGAGCCCCTCCAGTCAGCGCTCGGACATAAGACTGGCAAGTGCAGATGATGCCCGCGCTCCAAGAGGGCACCAAGAGGCCTCCAAGACGGCCCGAGACCGCCCCGAGACGACCAATTCGGCCTCGAGACGGCCCAGGAGGACCCCAAGACACCCCAAGAGGGCTCCAAGGGGATTCCCAAGAGAGCCCCAAAAGGTCATCATAGCCCCGTTCCCTCGGGGAAACGTCGATGTGTCGCGTGCTCGCCCTTATGTTGTTCACCGCGCCCTAGAGACCCCAAAGTCCTCCTCCTCCTCCTCCTCCTTCTCCTCCTCCCTCCTCCTCCCTCCTCCTCTCTCCTACCCCCCCCCCTCCTCCTCCTCCTCCTCCTCCTCCTCCTCCTCCTCCTCCTTCTCCTCCTCCGCCTCTTCCTCCTCCTCTTCCTCCTCCTCCTCATATTCCTCCTCTTCCTCCTCCTCCTCTTCCTCCTCCTCCTCCTCCTCTTTCGGCCCTGTGGAGGCCGTTTCCCGGCTCTGGGGCCGTCAAAGTAGAGTTTGGGACAAGGAGCTTGCCCTGGGTGCAAGGGGTAGCGAGGTCCAGGAGGCCGACACCACGAAGCTACTGCTGCGTCGGAAGGGGTGGGGCCCCAGGCGCCGGACGGCGACGACGACGACGACGACGACGACGACGACGACATCGACGAAGACGACATCGCCGACGACGACGACGACGACGACGACGACGACATCGACGAAGACGACATCGCCGACGACGACGACGACGACGACGACGACGACGACGACGACGACGACGAGGGCGAGGGCGAGGGCGAGGACGAGGACGAGGGCGAGGGCGAGGGCGAGGCCGAGGACGAGAGCGAGGGCGGGAGCCCGTGCGGCCAGCGGGCGGGTGCGCGCCAGCGTGGGCGTCCCACGGCTCTCCAGGTGCTGCTGGCGGGAGGGCGAATCGGCGGAGGGGTGGGGGGGGAGAGCGGCCAGGCAGCGGGCAGAGGGGCGGAGGCGGCCAGGCGGCGGGGCGGCCAGGCGTCGTCGTCGTCGTCGTCGTCGTCGTCGTCGTCGTCGTCGTCGTCGTGGTCGTGGTCGTGGTCTTGGTCTTGGTCTTGGTCTTGGTGGTCGTCGTCGTCGTCCTCCTCCTCCTCTTCCTCGTCGTCCTCGTCGTCGTCTTCGGGGAGGCGGAGGCGAGGGGGCTTCGGGCATCGACCAGAGCAGGCCGCACCGCACATGGTCGCGAGGGCGGAGGCGGCCGGGCGCCGGCGGCGACGGCGGCAGCGAGCGCCGCGTCGGCAGCAGCCATCACAGCTTCTCCTTCCTTCTCCTCCTCCTCCTCCTCCTCCTCTTGCTCCTCCTCCTCCTCCTCCTCCTTCTCCTCCTCCTCCTCCTCCTCCTCCTCCTCCTCCTCTTTGCTTCTCTTGCTCCTTTTTTGCTCGTCCTCTGCCTCCTCCTCCTCCTCCTCCTCTCCTCCTCCTCCTCCTCCTCCTCCTCCTCCCTCCTGTCCTGCGCGACCTCGTCGCCTCGGGAAATGTCCCAGAAATGCCTCCTCCTCCTCCTGCTCCTCCTCCTCCTACTACTCCTCCTCCTCCCCTTCCTCCTCCACTTCCTCCACTCCTCCGCCTTCTGCTGTTCTTCTTCATTCCTCCTCCACCCTCTTTCTCTCCTTTCTCTTCTTCTTGCCTTCTCCTTGCTCTTCCTCCCCTACCGTCACCTCGTTCGTCACCCTCGTTGTCCTCCCTCCAGCCATCCAATCATCCATCCGTCCTTTTCCACCAATCGCCTCCTCCTACCGATTCCCTCTTCTTCGTCTTTCTCATCCACCCGCCCCTCCCTCTTCCTCTTCCACACGACAAAATATGGAAAGCGTTTAGCGCCTTCCGGGGTCAGGAGGCCCCTATTCCGCCACCTTCACAACTGTTGTACGTATGTACATGTAAATGTTTATGAATGTATGTATGTATTTATGCATTTATGCATTAATTCATGTATTTATGGATTGCTGTATCTATTCATTTACTTATTTATGTATGTATTTATGTTTTTATGTTTTGAATAATGTATGTATGTATTGATTGATGTATTCATTCATTGTTTAATGTATCATCCCGAGGAGGTGTTGAAGCCCGAGTGGCGCAGTCGCGAGTCGTCTACGCATTGATCACACTTCCTGCAAAACCTCAAAAAGGAAGCCGAGCATCCCCTTCGAGCGCTGTTGGGCCGCTGGGGGCGTCCTCCGTGACTTCCCAAGAGAGGGAACAAGACGACGGACGAGGACGAGGACGAGGAGGAAGCGAAGGCCGAGGAGGAACGAAAGAGGAGGAGAGGGATAATGAGGAGGAGGAGGAGGACAAGGAGGAAGCGAAGGCCGAGGAGGAAGGAAAGAGGAGAGAAGGATAATGAGGAGGAGGAGGAGGAGGAGGAGCAGGAATGAAGCCCATTTGGCCTCTGGCGATCTGGGCCTGCGACCCGATCGATCGGTCAGGTTCGATCGGCGCCTGCCGCCCGATCGATCCCGCCTCGCAGGCCGATCGCGAGGCCGGGCTCAGCGCGCCGCGGATCGGCGATTCGCCGCCGCCGCTGCCGCGCCCTGGCCTCTGGCGGCTGCCGCGCGCCTTCGGCGCGCCCTGGAGAGGCCCGACGCCCCAGGAGCCCGCCTGGCACAGGCGGCAGAGAGAACGCCGAGCCTCGGCACGGGCTCTTCTCCGAGTCGTGAAGGCGGCCGACCTCCTCAGCGGCCACCACTCCGCGCAGCAGCACCAGCGCCCCCAGCAGAACGAGCTGCAGGACCACGAGACCAGCGCTATGGCAGCCAACGCAAAGTCTCACGGTCATCCAGTGGGTGCCAAGCCGTGGCCATGGAGGTCAAGCACACCAGCATCTGGCTCTTCACACCGCCGACACCACGGAGGGCAAGGACAGCAGCAGCCACGGTACCAGCCCCAGCACAACCAGCACCACCACACCTCCCACCACGACGAGGACCGACAGCAGCACAACTACGCCCAGCACCAGCAGCAGCATCAGTACGACTACACCACACCGAGAACGAAGCGGCCTCCCTCGAGAAGACGCCGCCAGGCCCCCGAGGACACCACCAACGACCACCGACATCTGCAAAAGCTGACGAAACGACAGTTGGAGGTCACTGATAAGGTAATGCCCGCCCTGCTTTCGGATGCCAAGGGACACGAAAGTTTTTCTCTCCCTCCCGACGAGCCAGACATACGTCGGGTCTGGCACGCGACCAAGGTGGCGAGGATGGCACGTCTCGCCGACCAAGTCCTCGGAGCCAGGCAAGCTCAAGTTGACCCAACCCGCCTGATCGAGGAGATAGCCATAGTCAAGACCATGCTACACCTGCTGGACACGCCGATGGCTCGCATTGCTCAATATAGATCTCAGGTGGAGTCACGGATCCAGAGACAGCAGATCGTCGAGAGCCAGATTCACGACCTCAATAAGGAGCACGACGAGATCAAGTACGAGATCGCATCCCTCAAGGCACTCATCTCCGAGGCCAAACAGCATCGAGGACGTGCTGAACTCTCGGAAGACAGTTGTGACGGGGACGGTGAAGATGACGTGCGCCACCGTGTCAGGGGCAAGACACCACACCCCGAGAGACGACAGCGACCACCAGTACATCAACCTGTGTCTGAGCCAGCGCCGGCTTCGACTACCAACGACGACAGCGACCTGCGGAAACTCATTGACGTGCTGACGAGGAGAGTGGATGAGCAGCAGCGCAACCACGGGATACACCAACACCATCTGGCGTTTCTCCACCATGAACGTGCCGAATCCGATCAACACGAAGCACAGCGTCAACTGCAGACCGAGCAGATTCAGGAGCTTTCGCAACATCTACAACACTGTCAGGAACAATTTCAGCAAGCACAATTCCAGCAGAGACAGTCGTACTACGACGAGATCCAAGTCTTCCGACAGCGCGAGGAGCGGCTCCGACACGAGGCTCGCGAATCCATCACGGAGAACATGGCTCACTACCAGCAGAAGGAGGCCTACCTGCGCGACCAGCTCAAGGAGGAAGAGTCAGCGCACCTCGCCACCTTAATCATCCAGAGGAAGCAAGAGGAAGAGACCTTCCGACACCAGCTACACGAGAACGCCGAGATCATGGTCCAACAATATCAACAACGCTGCCACGAACAACAGCAACGTCTTCTCTCCGAGAAAGCTCAGGCTCAGCAGGACATCAGCAACATCGCGAGGCTTGAACAGAACCAGCTTCAGGATGCCAAGGAGCTACTTTTGGAGGAGTTCGGACAGGTCCAGGCTCAGAAGTACCGCACTTTGACGGCCCAGAGCGAGTACAACAGCGAGATCGACAGGCTTCGAGGCACTTCCCGTGACATGCAGCGCTTCGAGAACGAACTCCAGGAGCAGCACCAACTCCAACTGCAGGAGCACCTTCAGCAACACAGACAGGAGCGCGAGCGACTGCACTGCGAACTACAGCAAGCCCACGAGTTCGGCACCAGCATCGACGTGGACATCCTCAGGGAGCTCGACACACGACTCCAAGAACGAGACGAGGAAGACGCACGACTGCAAGCCCAAGCAGACGCTGAACAAGCACAAGTCGACAAACAGATTCAAGCGGCACTCGAACTGCTGACCCCACCGTCTACCTCCGATGACTCGGGCTATCAACTCTACCTCAGAAACCGCGGCAGCAGCAGCGGTGGACAGCCCAGCAACAGCGGACAGCGCAGCAGCACACCACCACCACGACCGACACCTGCGACGCCAACCGCCACTCCTACTGCGCGACGCCCATGCCACGACGCCGACGACGCCAGCGTGCACACTCCAATCCCAGCCGACGACGACGACCTTTGCAGCCCAACCCCTGTTGCGAGCGACGCATATCCCTTCCCTGTCCCTACGCCATTACCCACCCCCGCCTCCAATACGCCGATCCCCACCGAGCAACCTACGCCCATCGACTTCCACCCACCCGACCCGCAGAATGACCGACCCAGCTCAGCGCCACCACCACGCACCAGAAGGACAGACTCAACTCAGCACAACCACCCATCCACTACTCTCCTCATTGACATCACTTCCGACGACGACGCACCGCCACCTTCCACCCCAGTGCGCATTCCACTAGCCGACATATCTCCTACCGCACCGATGCAGCCAATCCAACCACCACCCCGCTTCCACCTCGCCACGCCCGACCGCGCCACCTCTGCTCCTCCGCCCCGCACCGCTCTCCGAAAAAACGGATCATCTAGACGAGCGGCCAAGCCCAAGAAAGTCCGTATCTGCGACATCGGAGACGGCTTCGCAGACCCAGGAGACCGAGTGCCAACCTTCCTCAACGACGAGGAAGCCCCTGCGGTCAACCCACCAAAAAACTAACGGGGCCCTCACCCCCTGGGGGGCAACTGGCCCAGGGGGAACGGCCCAGCATCATACCAGAAGACTGCCAGCGCAACGACGGCACTTCCGACTCCTGCAGTGGTTACGCCGACGACGTCAGGCGCCGACTATTTGAGCCCCTGGTGAGCTCCGTTTCACCACACGACACTTCACAAGTTTCACCTACCCTCTCATCAGCCAATAGCGGCATGCGCGTTGGGGAGAGCGCACCTCCAGATCTTTACGAGCATGGCGACATGTGGGAAATCCACACACCGCCCAACATGCTACAGCCTAGTAGTGGACCGTGGACCATCCCCTCGGCCTCTACCTCTCGCTTGGGGAGCGCGAGAAGGCTGTCTCACACAGATCCCACACTAGAACCACATACGCTAGCGGACCGACCAACTACCGCCACCCAACCTCGACGGCAGCATGTCGACTCACATCCTCCACCAGCGGAAGCCCAGTCACGGTCGTTCCCGACGATGACGACGCCACCGCCTACGCCTCGAGAGGAAGCATCGCTTTGTGAGTACGACACGGGGGGGGGGTGCGGCCGTCTGTGGCAAGAACGACCAGAGCCACCAACAAGGCATCGACGTACTAGCCATTTTGGCCAAGATGGCGATCGAGACCGACAATTTTGCGACTCACCGAGCCGGCCATGTACATCAACTTCCTGCCGGCCACAACCGCACATTTTTGACTCCCTTGACGCTACCCAGATCCTACACGGACAGACCGACCTGCCGAATGCGGAGAGCCACGAGGCAGTACGGCATGTTCGTTTCTCCCGCGAGGTTCATACCCGCGACCAGCAGACCGACAATATCCTCTACCACATCGACTTCGACGAACAGGAGCCCCTACTCCAGCACCTTCGACGACTTCAGGCTCCCAGGCTTACCTTCGACTTTACCGACCGTTGCCACAACGAGGTTTCAGATTACATGGTGCGAACATTTCCATACCGACAGCTCCCACGAGATTCTCGCCTGTATTTATACACCGACGGCTCCAAACACCCACGCCAACATGGTCAAGACGGATGGTCAGTTGTACTCGTCGGAGAAGACGAAGAAGGTTTCTCTTTTCAAGGTGCAATAGTCGGCAAGCACCGCGACTCCACCCTCGTAGAGATCCAAAACCTCACGGACAACGAGACCACCTCGACATCCAGCGAGATCACAGCGCTCATCTGGGCGCTCGCCTACATTATCCACAAGGACATCAACCACAGTATCTCGGTCCACTCCGACTCGCTGGGAGCGATCCAACTGGCCAGGATGGAGGCTTTTACTAACCGAGACGCCCACCTCGTGCAGCTACTGGTGATCATGTATTCGCACGTCAAGGAATATGTTGACCTGCGTCACGTTCACGCCCACGAGATGAACCCGTGGAACGAAGTTGCCGACGCCGCGGCCAATTACGCCCGCATCGAGGACTACCCGCACCCACAACCTGAATGGGCTAACATACTCAACGCGTCCCCTCAGCGCAGCTGGGAATTCCTACTCGACGCCGACAACCACACCAAGGACGCTTACCCATCCTTTTCACCTGGGATGCTCAAGGCCCAACGCATCGATACCACGGCAACGACAGCCCACCTTTCGACACCAGCCAAGTCCACGAAGACCTCGACCGACATAGACGTCAACATCGCCACCTACAACATCCAGTCAGGGCGCGAACCTGGCCACGGCGCTCGACGACGCAAAGAAAAGATCCACAAGCTCAGAAAGACTATGCTCAACCTGTACATGGAGGACCTCCACCTGATCGGCATCCAGGAAGCCCGCACGCCATGGGGAGTTCGCAGCGGCAACGACATCACCAGCACGAGTGCGTACGCCTACCACGTCATCTCAGGGGGCCACGATCAGTACAACCTCGGCTGCGAGCTCCACATACTCACCAGCAAGCCGTACGGAAAGGCAGGAGCCAAGGACCTCTACTTCCGCCCCGATCAGTTCACCGTCATCGAGCACAGCCCTCGGCATCTCGTAGTAAGGATCGAAGCCCCAGGCTTTCGACATACAGTCTGCGTCGCCCATGCACCACATTCACGAGCCAAGCCACACGAGAAGGATATCTTCTGGGAGATGATCGAGTGCGCAACTTCTAACCACAATATCAACATCTTCTTCATCGACGCCAACGCTCGAACGGGCAGCTTATGCAGCCAGGCAATCGGCGATCAAGGCTTCAAGCAAAAGGAGGACGACAACGGCGAACGCTTCCACAAGGTCCTGCAAGGTAACTCTCTCATAGCCGCGAATACCTTCAAAAGCGGAGGCCAGGACCACTACACATGGGACTCAGGCAAGGACGTGCACAGACTGGACTACATAGTGGTTGGCCACGAGCTCTTCGACTCCATCTCCTACACGTCCGTAATGTACGGTATCGACACAGAACACGACCACTCACACAAGAACGACCACTTCCCTGTCAAGGCTAACCTCGCCTACACCGTCGAGACCGCCTACCAGCACGGCACGCCCAAGCTCGACATCGCTAAGCTCGACTCCGAGACAGCCAAGAACGACTTTCAACGACGCCTGCAGCAGATCCAACACCCCCCCTGGGAGACCAACCTCAACGACCATACTAAGAGCATCGTCGATCAGATAAAGGAAGCAGCCTACGCCAGCTTCAAGAAGCAGCATCATGCCCCCCGCAAGCCCTACATTACCGAGGCCTCCTACGCGCTTCTTCGATTCCGACGCACCCTCCTCAAGACGATCCGCATCGTGAAAAGGAATGGCATTGGCTCCAAGAAATCACGCAGACGGATCCGATACACCGCGCACCTCATCGCAAACCAGTCGGCTTCAGCGTCCCCTGACGACGTCATCCACCTCATGGACATCCCTGGATATACTCAGCTGATGATCAAGACCATCCTCTTCATCAACCACGCGGACCCCGACCATACCACGGCTCCACACCACGACAGCACCTACAGCACAACCACCTTCACTACAAATCTTTTCGACTCATACATGAGCTTCATCCAAGATACCGACCGAGTTCTTAGAAACCGCCTCGACCACGACCGCGACGCCCACCTCGAGCGCTTCTCCGACAACATGATATTATCAGCTGCAGGGAACGCCCCGCGGCAGGAATGGACAAACGTGAGGGCTTTACTCACATACGGCGGCCGCACACCTAAGAGAACTCCGACTCCCAAAATACGCCAAGACGATCACGGCGCTCCACTCACGACACCACAAGCCATTGCGGAGCACGCCCTTCGATACTACGGCAACATCGAGAACGGCATCAATACCGACATCGAAGGCGTCGTCAAGTACTACAACAACAAGACTGCGCACACAAAGCCGATACCCCACATCGACAATGTCCAGACCATCCACAACCTGACATCCGCCTTGGCAGCCGCCAAGAAAGGCAAACGCGGCGGGCCCGACGGGAACACCGACGACATGGCACGAGCAGCGCCGCGCCAGATTGCCCGACTTCTGCACCCCATCATGATGAAGATGCAACTGATGACGACGGAGCCTATTTCGGCGAAGGGCGGTTTCTCCACCCATTTCTCCAAAGGACAAGGACAGCTTCATCTGCAGAAAGCCTACAGGGGCATCCTCCTGAACAACACTATTGGCAAGATCAACAGCAAGTTCCTGAGAGGCCTCTTCCGCGACATCTTACCCGACCTGCTCATGGACACACAATGCGGCGCCGTCCCTCACAAGGCGACTGACTTCATCACTCACACCGCCTACACCTTCTTGGACGACTGCCGTACGCAGGCTCGCACGGGCAGCATCCTCTTCCTGGACTTGAAAGAAGCCTTCCATTCGGTAATATGGGAGTTCATTTTCCAGCTGCCGACACAGGAGGACGAGCTCGAAGACGTCATCGACAACATCGAGATTCCCATATGCCTCCTCCCCTCCCTACGACAACGTCTTCGCTGTCCAGCACATCTCAACGCCCACGTCGACGACTCTCACCTCTGCGCCCTCGTTGCCGACCACCACACGGCCAACTGGATGACCGCCAAGGGCACCGACGCATACGTGATCCCTCGCACCAGTACCAGGCCAGGGGTGCCATACTCCGACGCGGCTTTCAAC